TATGAGATACACCTCTTCTTTTAGACTTCAATGTTACTCCTAACTTTAAAAAAGAACTTCAGAATCCTGGGATTACAGTTGATAAATGCAAAATTATTTTTACTAAATGATTTGTGTGATTAAGACCCTACACTCTAAAGTTTATTCTTGTGTAATCAATCCATCCCGAATTTTCAGTCTCAAACATCAAATGATATAACAACAAAATGGACAAAAAGTCTTCCTATCATAAATCTTGCATGCTTTAGAATTATTTGGAAATATAAAAACTAGCCCAGACTGCAAAGCAGCTCAACATTTTTGGACAGCATCAGCATTTCATTGCTTTGCTTCCAGACTAATCAAGCTGCTGTGCTATTTAATGTGCTTAATCTGACCTAGCGAGCGTGTCTCCACGGTGGCAACGAGCTCCCCTGGAAGGCTGGCACTTCCAGAATGTGATTGATGCAGTCGCTGGCTCTCATAAAGGCCACTGTACCTACTGTCACTGAATTACCAGGCAAGTGTACATTCTGCCTCATTAAAAGCTACAGAAATTAATGGTAATTTTCAAACATGCCCAAAATTAAAAGCTCCTGAGGTTTGGTTTTGGGGCGCTCTCTTTTTTAACAGAAAATCTCTGGCACAGACAATACAATAACTCCTATTAAGACAGGAGAGAGAAGACTGGGATCAAAGGCCTCTGAGCCTACCAACTAAACAAGGTATTCAAACAAAAAGCCTGTTTAAGAGCCAACTGCAAGAGGACTGTGGCACTCAGATTTAGAAGTTACTGAAGTTCAGACAAACGTGCTACAATGAGATTTTCTTTTTTGGTTTTGCCCAGTTGTAAGAAATCATCGTATTGTTAAGTCATTGCAGTACTCAAAGAAAACAAAGTCACACGTTTTGCAGAACAGTTGCTAGAAGAGCCTGCAAACTCAATTTGTGAGATCTCAATTAAACCATCTTTATTTACGAATCCCTGAAATTCTCTAGCATGTAACTCCCAGAGGCCTGGTTTAATTAGAAAACTGATCATGGGAAAACGTCTTAAAATGTAGGCTCCTAATCATAGCTTTCCTGTTATCACCTTTTGCCAAAGATCCATCGCTCACAGGGAGTTGCTTCTCCTTCCCCCCCTTGGCCCTATATTATTGCACTCACAGTATTTTTAACCTGTAAATAATTCTGGAGAGTAAAGGTAACTTAAATGCACTGTAACGGAAGCTATTAAGGAAAATTTGATCAGAGGCAGAAAATACAGTAAAAGTGAAAGCCGTTGTACAACCACACGGAGATGACACCCTCGTATCTACGCTGCTGAGAGATATTAATTATGCCTCTGGCAAAGTGCATGTGGGCTCCTTCAAAGAAGCTATTTAAAGATAAGGACACTGCAGACAAACACTTTGGAGATATCTGAGCTATTCCCTTCCTTCTTGTGTTGGAAATTCTAGGCCACCATTTTTTTTAAAAAGAGGATGATTTTAAAATAATAGAAAGCAAGGGAGCCTTGCCAAGTCTGGTCAGTTAGATGCATTCCAAGGTGCTCAGATATTCATCAGCTGTTATAGCTTTTTCATTCTGCTCCGTTTACCTTTCTTTTAGAAGTAATTAGTACATTGTGTTACCAAATTAAGGGTTCAAAAGCCAAACTAATTAAAAATATGTCTAAAGCCCCCACTATTCTGGGTAACAAAACCAAGCAGGTCATCTTGGTTAAATTATCTCCCTTTGAAATTACAGGGTGCTAAAAAAGAAAAAAGTTATTTGGATCATTAATTTTCTGACCCATATCAGAAGGCCAGGTAAATGGGACTCCTCTTCCTAAGTATGGGACCTTACACACATCAGTGGCCTTTCTTCCACATCCATCACTCACCGAATTCAGCTGCTGCCACTTAAAATAAACCCCCCAGAGTACTGAAGAGTGAACTTCTAGTGGTGATGAGATTTTTAAATTTCTCTGTTTAAAAATAGAAAATGAAAGTACATACTGACAAATTTAAACTGTGCTTCTGACATTGCTGCTGGGTGTGGTGGGACAAGGACAGAGACATGACCACAGAGCTGTTTTCCCTCCAGTCCTGGAGAAGACTCCCTTGCCAAAGAAAAGCTTTGATCATGAATGCAGGGACAGTATCATCAGAGCATTTTAAAGAACTAGGACCTAAGAGAGTCCCAATTAAAAAAAAAAAAAAATTACACAAACATAGGGATTTACTGTCCTGGATCTTACCACTACAATACTTACTACTAAAAAATTTTGAAAGTGCTGAACTTACACCTTGTGAGTGTGCTTTTATTTCCATGTAATTGTATTTTGCATTTCATCATGAAAGTGCAAACAGCCAGAGTTGGACAGACATATCTGGACAGAAGTCAGAACAACCACATGTCCCACCATGAAAGCAATTTTGAATCCCTCAACACTTCAATAAATAATAGCACAGAGGTTCAAAACCAAAACAAATCCCTTCAAAAAAAAACCAAACACGAGTCTTCTCTACACTGGGTTTAAGTAAACTGTTGGCTCTTCCCTCTCCTGGCTCACTGGGTACCAAAAGAGCAGCACCAGACTAAGGCTGCCAGTGCCCTGGAAGGCCACTTGTGGGACTTTTCTAGAGCTGGATGTATCAGCGGGCTGCTACATGAACTCCCTGCAAGCATATTAAGAACCAGCTTCCACCTCCTTTTTCCCAATGCACACATCAAAAGAGACAATCACCTGGAGCCAAACCTCTCGAGGGACCAAACAGGCACAATCTCAGGCAGCCAGGACCTCTTGAAGGACACAGCAGTTCAGACACTGAAGCCAGAACTATACTAATACTGATCTCAACAAGCCACAGCTGCTCTCCTGCTCCTCCACAGAAACGCATCCAGGTAGCACATTTCCAAGATTTTCCTCCCTGCTTTCACTGGCTCTTCTCAGGCTGTATACAGGGGTGATGGAGCAATAAGCTTGCGGAGGTGCAGAAACAGAGAGCTGACGGCTTCCCCTTTCTGCTTTTCTTCAGCCTGTTTAGGCAGACCAAGAACATGCCATGTGTGGCACTCAGAGCAGATTTTCCCTCGTGGCTTTTAATATAATTGTAATTGGGATCTTGCCGTCTGAACTCACGTGTTGTCTGAAACATATGAGTACTCCTGCATACTAAAGAAATTAGGAATGAATTGCAAGTTCTTAATTGACAGTACAAAACATCAATTATTCTACAGATGAATAACAAAGAAGAAAATTACAGGTGCAGAGCTAAACAGCCACTGATTAAAATAAAAAAAAAAACAACACACCGCCTTCTGAATGAAGCATTGGAATAGGACAAAGGTACTCATTTGCATTGTTAAAGCAGAATCCTAAGAGACAGTAGGCAATAAAAACGGAGGTAAGTCCCATCCCCACACAGGTTGCCTTTCTTTAAGTGCAAGTGCCTCCAAAGCTATAAATAACACATGCTTAGTTAGCAAGCAGAGGAAACAAGTGTGTGAATGCAGCCATGTGTGCTCACACACATACACACACACCCCTCCACCATCTGAATTTTCCCACCAACAACTGTGGCAGTTGGCCCAGATCACAGCAGTGACATGCTGCCAACAGACTGATCAGCCTCACAGCAGACTAAATTAGAAATACATTTCCACAGATTAAATTTCAGAGGACTGCGATGCCACTTTAAACTCCATTAGATTCTGCTCCTCGCAATCCTTTAAAACAAACACAAAAGCTAGCAAACCACCCCCTCTCCATTCCCTCCACCCACCCACTTTACCAGAAGTCCCAACAGGATGGAGACTCCATATTGGACCAGAGTCAAGACAGATAAATTAGCAATCAGTCTGAAGCTACCACTAGCCTAATACCTCATAGAAGAGAAGAAAAAACAAATCAAACCATGCTGCAGTAAGGTGAGAAAGCCTCGGCAGGAAGCTAGGGGTGGTGTCGACCATCTCATAGATGCAACAGAGATCTCAGAACTGGAAGGAGAACTCAAACACAAGCTTTGAAGGATTCAGTCCACTAGGCAAGACTTTTGCAGACAAGCCCTATCTGTAACAAATGCACACCCTTTCAGCAGATAATGAGACAAAACAACAGCAAGAGGCATTGCTCCAGCAGATCAAGGATGGAGCAGTGATGAGCTAAGGGGATGGGTGGGCACCTAATGAAAGAAATGCATACCACAAGAGCTAGTATTACAACCGGGAGGTTAGACTGAAAGACACTATCTTCAGTACCTGACTTGGGACATAGGGCCAGGGAAAAATGACCTCTCAGTTAAGATGTCCTTCTTCAGCTTAATCTGGACAGGCAGCTGCACCTCACACCAAGGTCCCCAAGCCTGATGTGTAGGTTTGCAGACGCACGCCAGTGATCCCAGACACACACCATCCAGCTGCTGCCAGGCTCAGGCACCTGTTACTGTGAGATAATTCGGGTATCTCACCGTACAACTTCGGATGTCTTGTCTGCACTTGGGTTGCAGAGCAGAAGAGCTCACCTGTCTCCATTATCACCATGGGAACAATCTAGCTCCCGGGGCAGCTATGATTAAGAACAGCAGCAACCCCTCCTCCACAGGCAGATGAAAAGCCTCACTCAGGTTGAACAATAAAGGACAGTAAATAGGTAGAGAAGGGGAATTTCCAACCAGATTTTTCCTCTTGCAAGAACAAGTACTCCAGCAAGTTAAGCACTTCTTCAGTTTATAGTTAGACAAAACAAAGGAGGACAGGGAGGACTTAAGAGAGCTAGACAAAAATCCATTCAGGATAACAGAGTGCTAAGCATAACAGAAATTTCCTTTTGCACTATTACCGGCCTCATTTTATCATGTTTACAGCCATGAACTCGAATGCTCCTGCTGCAGATACAGTCAAATTGCTGAGAGCTGAAACGCATACAATATCTCAAAGTGTAGCACCAGTACATTCGTCTAACTGCGACTGGGTGCACGGTGCTACGGCTCGTTCTTTGAACAAGACCATCCCCCAGGCTGCTGCGAGACTCCTACCTCGAAGACAGAGGAAAGTGAGAAAATCTTCTGTCTTGGGCTTCCTTTTGGAGAGGTCAGAAATCTGAGTGGCGGGAGGGGGTAACAACGGCTCCACTATCTTTATTGGAGTTGTGCTGGGACTGTTGGGCTGGGACTGAGCAAACTTCCTTTGTGCTTGCAGCCTTGGCCTGCGGAAACAAGAGCATATCAGAAGCACGTTAGGCAGAATTTGCAGGAGAGACATCAGAACATAAAAATTCACTGTTTAAAAAAAAAAAAGAAAAAAAGAAAAATCCGAATCCATCGCCCTTCAATATCATATCCCTACCTGGGTCAATTGTGAAGACAGTATTTTATTTGCTTTACCCTTTGGTATCTTCTGCGACAATTTGGAAAACCAGAAAGGGAACATCTTGACTATAAAATCTGTGACTGCTATTTCATATGTTCTAAGTATTTTCTTGCACATCACACGATTACAGTTTACCATTCACTTATTTGGAAATTAAATCTGTATTTTGCACCATGAAAATGTCTTTTTTTTTTTGAAGTGTTAGTGTTCTTTGCTTCTTGTTTTTAATTAATGTACAAATGAGGTTTATTTTAGCCCCATTAAAGTTTTAATTTATTCCAATCTGCTAGAATCCCATTTACACGGTAAAATTTTATTAATAGATAAGGTAACTATGTTAGCGCCCAGTTCTACAAAACCAATCCAAAACCATTAGGATAAGGCATTTTTGACAGGGAAAATATCAAGTAAAAGCCATTAGATTTTTGTTCCCTTGGCCACAGCCCAGAAGACAGTAAGCAAGGAGGTCCGGGGTGGGGTTAAGTAATATTTGTGACAAATTTGTAAGAATGAAGGACATGTGTGGAGTGAATTTGTCTTAGTCCTGGTACTGGGCGATGGACTGACACTCTCTGGTAAGTTTTAGAGCATGCCCGGGTACAGCCATAGGAAATGAACTGATGCAGGTGGTTTTGGCAGTCAGGCTGCAAATTATTTCAAGCCTATCTGAAGGCTCTGATTAACTGCTAGGTAGCAATGAAAATGGTTTTCTTTAATACATCTAGAACGTAAACTGGTATTAGGGAAAGCGCTTTGGGGCAGGGCAGACACCCAGAGGGGGTCTTGCTGGGAACCTGACTTGGATCAGCATTTAGAACATGCTAATTTCTCACTTAAGCAACTGGGATTCTAATTATGATCTTTATTACAGCTTCAAAAAGGAGAGAAGCTACTGAAAGAACTTAAAATCTCATTGAGAAAGGATGCAATTTTATGTCATTTTCTTCCCTAATAGCAGAGTATTTACATAATGTCAAACTGAAACACGTATCAAATAACACTGGAGGAAAAGCCAGGTCTTCTCACTCCGCAGCAGGCTTGGCTGTTATGACTTAGGGAAAGCACAGTTATCGTTCACCGTGGATAAAACATGTAATCAGCAAACCTCTTCTTTTTCATGGATATTAAACTGAAATAGTTGAGTAAGAAGATGTTTGTTACTGCATTTTAAACTTTCACAATTTTGTGGCTAAAATAGGAAGAAAAAAAATTGGAAATCCCAGCAGTGTTTGCATACATATATACACGTCCCCTAATGACAACACAGAACAGAAGAAACACCAGCAATTTTCTCCCTAAACTCAGCATAAAACTCTCCATGTCCTCACTATCCAACTCCCACCCCTCCAAACAACAAACATCACCTGCAATTCCTACTGCTTATTTTCATCTCCTTAATGGTCAATACAGCATAGTGTTTATAATTTTTTTTTATCATATTGCTTATAATTTCTGAACTGGAACTAAGAGACGACTGAACACATATAATTCCCCGTATCTATGAACAAGTACCTTTCCAGAATGAAGGTTGTGTAAAGATCTGCCTGTATATCCCCAAAATCACTCAGATGATTGCCTTGCAAAGCTCTATTCCTTCAAGTAGATGAAGGCTGAACAGGATTTCAATTTCAACCAACTACATTTCTATCACCAAAACCGCACACGCGGTCAGAGAAAAATGCTTTGTGCGGGCTTCTGTTCTGCACAAAACGTACGCACTCTCGCCAAAAATCTGCCTATAAAGGTTAGGAAGCATCCCTGCCTGCTGCTCTCCTCTGTGCAGCGATTCTTCCCCACCAATGTGCTTCCTCAGCTTGGCTGTTAAAAACGTCACTATCCTCTCACAGCATCTCTGAAGCTATCTGCTCAAATCTCGTGTGATCAAAGACAAGCAGTGAGGAGGGCTCCACAACCACCACCCCACGAAAAAGTAAAGGCTAAGCCTGTTTCATGGTTCAGAATTAACCCTTTGCAGCAAGGATCAGTCAGGGCTGTTTGCAGCAGCCCTACTATCGGCCTCTAGAGCACTGAAAGAGGATTAAGGAAAGAATGACTTGCAAGTTCGGCATAGACATGAAAGGAACTAGTGAACTGTAAGTACTTTTGGTTTGGTCTGTCTTTGAAAATACACTCTCCGCGAGCCACCCTTCCCCAGCACAAACAATTCCCCACTCGTTTTGCTTGCCCACTCCCCGCGGGGCACGTGGCCCGGCCTGGCAGCATCACCGCCTCTTCGCTACCCACCATGCTCCTGCATGAAAATGCCAGACCCTCCGCCCAGCTTCAGGCTACGACCGTGAACTTTTGCTGCTTCCAGGGGACACTGCGGACGGTTGTTGCTTGGTGTGAACTCACCAGTTTCACAAAAACAAGTCTGTTCCTTAGGAAATACCCATTTTTTATTAAAACCCTGAGCAGTTACAGGGCATAAGCATCATCAATTCAATTTATGAACGCTAGTAAACAAAGGCACCCTTTTGTGACTGCAGCATCCTTTAGGTTTCAACAACTACTGTTCTTCGCATGGGTAGGCATGTGCTCCGCAGGCTTCTCCTTCAATGCCTGAGGGTGTACAGAGCGAGCTACGAGCAAGAAACAAGTTATTTTGTAGCTACAACACACTGGGATGAGGCATTGAGGTTAGGAAACAAAAGCCAAGCTTTTAAGCAACCTTTCCTCCAGATTTCTGTGAAGATGACCAGTTTCAAAGGTGGGCCAGCAAAGGAAAAACGTACACATTTCAAAACATGGGTAACAACTTCAAACTGTTTCCTTGTGAAAAAGTGTGCGCATCTTAATAACCTCATATATCCCCATGAAAACCTCTAGAAGCATAAAACCAATTATTTCAGGTACGGTTTCACATTACATTTAATCTAATCTAAGCGTGAAGCTGCTGCCAAAAAAGGAGGTACCTCCCTCCACTACATCAGGTAAAGCACAGCAGCACGTCATACTCACTCATGCACCACTTCTGAGCAAGGCAGAATAGGTAAGGAAGTGAAAAAAGCGCTCAGAGAGAATTTTATGTGTGATAAACGCATAGCACCACTGGTGTGGCTTTGCTCTTTGCTTGTTAATGCAACGATTTCTGCTGGAACGACCTATTCAGCGTGCGTTTGGCAATGGGAGACACATTGGCATGAGTGGCAAAAAGGATAACGAAAATCCTCCAAATAAACTGTTTACTCTGTCCTCATTGGAAAGGTATAAGCTACGTAAGACTTGCAAATATGCAAAAAGAAAAAACTTCACAAGAAGAAAAAGGATGAGGGAAGAACTCAAAATAATGCCACATCTAAACATCATGCAAACACCCAACACATAGTCAGAAATATCCAGACTATTTAAAAATAAATAGTAATTCACCTTCTCTCTACAGAATGTTATTTTCCTTCTACTGCTTTTGAGAGACTTTAAACAACCTACCTATGACATGAAGTTCAAAAAAGCCTCAGCCTGAGGAAGCCTCACCTCCTTTCGGTACGCTTCTCCTACTGAACCGACTGTTTAGGTCTAAGACAGTAAATTACAGCCAGAAACTAAAACTCCACAACAAAAATATCCTGAGCGTACAAATCCAGACCAGGCTACAAAACATTTCTCTCCAACACAAAATACACTTTTTGAAGTTTTTCTAGACTGGAACTTGGTTTCAGTTGAATATTTTAAGCAAACTGCATTCTTTATAATCAAAACACTACTGTTTATGTCAGCTAAAGGTACTTCAGAAATGTCTTTTAAAATAGAACATCCTAGCACCATTCCTTTAGCTTGTAGAAAAGGGCATGTTCAGGAAGAAAACACCTACTACATAAAGGCAGTCTTTTCTTTGTAAAGCAAAGCTCAGGCCAGTAATACCAGTCTGTGTTAAATTCAGTAAACGTTAATACTCTAGATAACAGCACACGCTGTGTTAGCTACAAATCAAGTACTAAATTGTCAGTATGCGAGATTCAGTTGTACATCGGTACAAAAATCTGACTCTCTTCAGTTTGTTACTCCAGAAGTCTTAAGTGAAAGAAAAGCATAAGTACTGCAAAACATACACAAAGAACAATACGCACAACTGAATTGATAATAGATATGTATTCATATCAATCTGTTTATAATAAATTCTGGGGTTGAGAGGCTGTCCTCATAACCCAAGCATCTCAACTGGGAAAAGATTTGCAAAATAAACTTTTTCAAATATCCTCTAATCTCCAGCAATCTGCAGGTTTTCACAAAACTTCCTGCTTGCTATATACTACAATGTTAGCTTGCTGTTTGGTCTCACCACCTTTCACTTACTCCTTGAACTTCACTCTTGTCTTTGTTTCCTGCTTTTCTGTTCCCTGATGTTTGTTCCTTCTTCTTTATAACAGCACCACTAGAGTTAGGTTTCCAAACTCTATAGGAACCATAGCTTTAGTAGCTGCTTGGGTGTCACTGTTTTGTGATGAATTTCCATTTCCCTTTTCAACACTGTGTTTTTCACTTTCTGAGCTGCTAGTAAGCAGCCTGCAAGCTAAAGTAAAGGAATCTTACGCCTCCATCTTTCTAAAAGCAGCATCAGTATTTGGTTGCTTTGCTTTTGTCACTTGTCCTCCTTAGAAACTGCAATGTAAGTATTTGTAGATATTTACTTTCATTGCATTAAAATCGCTACTACTAACTGGCGGCAAGGAGCTGGTATTAACTAGTTTTAACCAAACACTGCGTAGATAGTTGGGAATACAGACTCGCTTACTGCCTGATCTAAGGCTAGCTGCTGAGGAATCATCCTCCACCAAAACACATCTTCAAATGGGCAGAGTTTGGGTTTTTTGTTACTGCCCAGCTAGGCTATGCAGC